CATCTTAAAACTGAAAACAAATACTCCTAATTTTTTGTTTCTTTGGTGACCAATGATTCTAAAATAACTGCACTAGAAAAACAATCCATTTAACATAATCATCCCCATGTGGCTAAATGTTACAATTGACTGTCTAGAATAATTCAGATAAAAATTTGAATAAAGAGTTTTCTAATTAATGGAATACAGTATTTTGGTAAATGTCCACAAGGAGTTTTGGCTTCTTTATTTCTAAGCCTCTCCTGCTAAGGTTTTTCCATTTGGCAAGAAGGGATTTTTCCCATGACACTTAACGTCCTTAAGTGATTTATTTTTGCATTTGTAGCTATTTACTGAAACAAGCCATTATTCCTATCCTTTATTCCTGTGGAAATGAACAAACAATCTGCTGGTAATAGACACTTAAAAAGAAAAAAAGAGCCCATCACTTGTTAATAAACTAGCATGACGAGTTGACTGGATTACGATTTGTTGTTTCTTTTGTGTTAGTTTTCTTGTTGATTTTCTCTTTTGTTTTTATTCACCATTCTAAATGGCAATTGTGTACAGTACATAAAATACATACAGAAAAAGACTTGTCTACAGCTGAAATCTTGCATTTGAAATGTAGTCAATGTGAAATTGTCTCTCTGAAGAAAAAATAATTTGTTAAACTGATAGTAACTTAATCTATACTTTGGAATCAATTTATCTTAAAATATGTATTATATTTATTCTTGGTTAGGTATTACTGACAGCACTCATGAAGTTACACCAAAGCACTACAACTTAGTGTGTATTTGAATGCATCTTAGTAACTAAGATATATTTTGATTCATAAAACAACTGTTTTTGCTTTGCGTGTTGTAAAGTGACTGTGAGGCTCATAGGAAACTGACTCATAATGGAAAGCTTTCTCCAGCATGCCCTGTAGCATAGGCACAGTTGCCAAGAAGTTATCTGGGTTCATTTCCATAGTAACCAATCAATATAACTGTTTATTTTCTGAAGGCATTGCATTTGAACTAAGAATCTGATAACTTAGATATTACTGTTTAAAGTTAAATGTTCTGATTAGTTGCTGTTTTTTTCAGCATGAGGTGAATAACATGCTGGTGCTTTTCTTTACACAAAAATTACCTTCATTAAAATATGTCAGATTTTAGTTTATATAATGGAATTAGAAGAACTGTTCGGGGGGAGGGGAGCAGTTGGTTGGGGTTTTTTTGCAGCTTGTGTAGAAATGTTTCAAATATCTTGTTTTTTAAAACAATGTGCCAGTGAAAGAAACTAATGATACGTCCTTGTGAGGAGGAAGGAGTATTTCTGGTTTTACTTGATTTTATTTTTATCAGTATCTATAACTGAGGCCTTTTTACTGTAACTTTTACTTTCTTGTTTGTAAGAGAACTTAAAAACCTGATCATCCTATTTAATGTTTATTAAATTATTTGCCTGAATAAATCCTGACCTGTGATATGAGTGGATTGAGTCTTCCAAAAGCGTAGTGTTTTTGTGCTACCTTCTTTGCTTGAGTAGTGATATACATATAGCAGTATTGGTATGTTGAAATAAATTCAAAATCCTTAAAGGTTTTAAAGACACATTTCTCAAGCAGATGTTACTTACATTTATCTTGTATTTACAGGCAAAAATACATTTAATTTTCACTAAATTATCTTTTACTGTAATGTTAGTGATGTCTGGAATAGTATATAACTGCCAGCGTAAAGCTGTTTTGACTGTAGTTTGCTATAGAAGTAGAAAGCTGTCCTGAGAAGCAGAAATATAACCTGAACCATAATACTGAGTTGTACAAAGATTTTTGGCACATTATTTTGACCTTATGAGTTTACAGAAACATTTTTTGTAGGAAAAAGTATTATTACTTAATAACTGGAAATATTACGGATGTAGAAAACACTACAGGAACTTAGCAAAATGATGGATAGGAGGAAAACTTATTCTCTTATTGGTAGTCCCAGTGGTTCCCTGGTACCAGTGATAACTGTCCTACTTGTATGATGAACAGATGCTATGAGAAGGGATTTTCTGACCTTTATGGATGACAAGTGAACACTTTCAGTCTTGTAGCGTTGTTTTATAGCCTTATAATGAATAGCAGAAAATCAACATTGCTTCTAGTTTTCAAAAGGAAGCTCGAGGCTGGAATTGTTTTGCAGATATTATTGGATGCATAGTAATGTGCAAATGCAGGTTCCCTGTGGCTTTATGGCCATAGCTGATATGCCTTGATCTGAAACTAGAGATTGAATGCAGGAGGAGGTTAAGTCAAAGGATTGTTAAGAATTCTTGCTTTTTGAAACTTAATAAAGGTTTGTATAATTGCATGCATTTTAGTTTTGATTAGATATTTCTGGTAAGATTCAATTTCAGTAATTTTTTTTTAAATTAGTAAAACAGACAGACAGCTACAACAATCACTTTGTTAAGGGAACAGCTTTTTTAATTATCCTCTTATTGTAGAGTTTTTTTAATTATCGTGGTGTGTTAAAATTAAGATTCTTACTCTGTGCTGAAACTAGACATAAAACCTGATTCTAGGATTTTTTGCGTCTATGTGTTTGGGTTTTTTTGGGGGAAGAATACTACCATTGTGCCAAAATGTGATGGTTTTAGTGAAAGAAAATCTTGACCAACCATATCGTTTGGTTAATCTGCATTCAAGTCCACCTTCCCGCTCAGTCTTTTTAGTCTAACAAGCTCTGAAAAGTTAGGGTAACTACCAGCAGGGTTGAGGCCATAAGAAAGTCTATTGTCTTTCAGTATCAATGGAGGCCTGTTGCTCCTGGTGCTCACAAGAGGATATTGGTATGGTTTCATAAGTTTCTAGCATTCTCAATCTATTCTGATAGAACTGTTGACAGAAGGATCAGAGGACTACAGTGAATTTAATGAATTAAGACAGTAAGATAAATACCCCTTCTCTATCTAAAGCAAAAATTTGTAGCTAGACAGCTCATGAAAAAGGTTTTCCTCCTTTTTCCCTGCTTGTGGTAAAAGTGTCTTTGATGTGGTGGTGTTTTTAAGAGAGAAGAGGGCCTTTTATTTATTCATTTTTAGGATAAGCTCAAAATGTTACTTAGGAAAAAAAAAAAGAACTTAAAGAAAATCAATTCTGGAGATTTCATTTCTAAGTTACTTTGAGTAAGGCTGGACCACTGTCATCTGCAGAAAAACAGTGTTCTCAGGAGTTGCATTATCTTTAAGCACAGCGTATGAAACCTGCAAATATGCAGACCCCAGATACCCATGCACTTGGATAGCTGTGTTCTGCTTGATAGTGGACATCTTGTTGACTATTTTCTTTACCTGAGGGTAGAGGAACTATCACATAAGTGCTACAAAAGTTATTCCTAGGCCTTCTAAGTGCAACAAATGTTAGCAGTTATCAAATATCCCTTTAAGGTGGTATTTTACTTGATGACTTCTTGCCTGAGCCTGTTTCCAGTAGAGGATGTAACTATTTGTAATTTTCCTTTTTTGAATTCTGGTTCTACTTTGGATTTAAAGAACTTGTATCTTGGCAGTTTGGGATTTTTTTCTAAAGCACAGGGAAGTTTACAATGTAAAACATAACAGATAAAAGGTAGATTGTGGTGTACAAAGACTGTTCCTTTTAGGTCACACGCTTGAATATGACTCAGTGTTGTATCATCAGAAGCTGTTAGTCTGTTGTGGTCATTACACTGACTCATTTTAGGCAGGCTAGTTTATTCCTACCTTAGGAAGTCACGGTGCCAGTGAGCGCTGTAGCTGACAGTCTCACCAGCACAGCAAATCAGAGCTTTGTGTGAGCCTTGCGATTCATCATTTCTCCTTAGGTGTGATAAACTCTGACTCCAGCTTATGTGGAACCATAGAATTCTACCTCCGTTAAAGATGTCAAACTGGATCTTCAATAATAAGCTGCTGTAAGAAGTTAATATAAAACATAGGAATGGATGTATTAGAAAAATGAAAGAGAAAGAGAAGGACAAATGCTGCTTTAACATGTGGAGACTGTACCTGAATGATTAGAGTGGTAGAAGAAATTATCACGGTTTCTCCACAGTTCCGACTTCTCAGTTTAGAAATGCGGGACTAGAAAAGAGCTTTTGATCATTGAGGCAGGTCTCTCAGAATCATAGTCCTTATGTCCCCTGTTATTGACAAACTGGCCAACCTTGTCTTTAAATACAGTAAGATTTTTTTGCTCCTGCTTCTCTTATTTGAAGGCTGTTCTAGAAACTTGCTCTGTGGTTTGACACTTTGTAATTTTCAGTTTTAAATGGGTATTTGATTTTGCCTTATTTTGGTCCTAGTCACTTTTCATTTGACTTAAATTTATTTGGTCTCTAAAGTGTTTGAATCACTAGTGTATTTTTATTACATGTGATTTCTTCTTATAAGATACAGAAGTTTTCTAGTTGTCCTCCCTGTACTTCTTCATTTTGGAGTCTGTCCTTGCTCAACCAGAGTTACCCAAACATAATAATGTGTTCTGTTTGAGCCTTATATAATGACATTAATATAGCTGAAAGCATCCTACATTTTGCCTTTTTTCTCAGCTGCATCATACTGTCAGGTTGTAGTCCTTCTGTGATGAACAAATCCACTCAGATATTAGTCGATTTATTTTGCTCTCAAATGGCAAGCTCCCAGTATGTAGCTAAAATTCCTCTTTGCCTGAAGTGCATTACTTTGTAGCTGGCTATTGTACATCCTCTTCTTTGTACTTTTCCAGGCCTCAAATTTACCTAGTTCTGCTTGTATGATGCTCCCTCTCTCTGTATGGAAAAACTACTTGTCAAAGATGGTATCTTGAGCACATTGAAACAGTTATTAGTCTTGCTACAGAAACGGGAGAACGAAGGATAATTATTCAGGCCTTGGAACAGATTTTGCATGAAGTGACCAGTCTACAAACGGTGGAACCAGTGTTCTTGAGCTGTCCTATTGCATTTTCTGATCCTGAATGGATATGCAACTAATACTAGGCATATGTTCTCTATTTGCAGGGAGGTAGTACAGGCAAATTGTGTCCGCTGGAAGAAAAAGTTCTTATTTATGTGTAAAATCAGTGCCAGTGCCACAACAGGGATTCTAGATACTTGCATTTGCAGGGTGTCTGTACGGAAGGTAAGTAGCTCATTTTCCCTCCTCTTTTTTTCCCTGCTCTTTCTTCACTTGTTTTGATTTAATTTTTAAATGTCTGATAAACTTCATAAAGCAAATTTTACCTGCAACTACATGAAGTATTCTTCCAGTCAAAATTTCATAGTAATCTTATTAATTACCTTCATTTGACTAATTAATTTTTTTTAACGTTCTTATTGAAAAGAACACTTATTCTAGCAGGACAGCAAAGGAATCATGCATCAGCCTTTATAAAGTTAGCCCTTGATAGATCTAGCGAGCAGCAGTAAACTTACAAGACTTGAACTGTGCTAGGTATCAGAATTTTGTATGCAGCATGTCCTACCTTTTGGGCTTTACTTTGCAAGAGTCAAATTCTGGTTGGCATCAGGCACTCACTCTTCCCCGTCTCTGCAAGATGACAGTCTTCTGCTGGCCTGCACGGAGGATATTATTAATACTAAGTTCTAAATGTCAGCAGTACAGCCCACCAAATGTGTGTTGAGCTGTTTTAAAATGAAGATTACTATTTGCTTTTCAAAAAACCAACACAAAATCCAGTCAGTATCTTTAATGGCTTAATGGCATGTCTTTTTTTCTAGGAGTTAAAAGGAGGAAAGGCATATGCAAAGGTAAATTGAGACACATCTAATTTTGCCTGCAAATTAGCTTTTCTTTCTTGTCATTTTATGCCCTTTTAAAGTAATTCCAGAATAGTACTCTAATATCTATGATTTCATTATGTGCATTATAGTTACACAGCAGTGTTGGAACTCTTGATCAGTGTGTTTAAGAAGTATATAATAATATTATACCACCAGAATGTTTTTTTCTTTCAATTTCGTATGTTGAAAGGGTTGATAAACGTAAACCCTTCTGCATGTGTCTACTTTCAAAAATAAAGAAAACTCTCCTTGTTCTTTTTCCTTCTTGAGACTTTAATTTTTAACTGAAAATAGAACTGTGCAGAATTTGACACTCAGTTTTTCTGCTTTTTGCCTTGGGCCACTCCCTTTAATGGCCATCCTCTTACTCGTATTTGAGAGAAGCTGCTGTTGAGTGGCACTCAATACTGCGCATGTAGCAAGTACCTTCATTTAGTAATATGCTTACTGTTAACTTAGTAATTTTCTCTTAACAGCTGGGATTTGCAGATCTAAATCTAGCAGAGTTTGCTGGATCAGGAAATACCACTCGTCGCTGTTTATTGGAAGGTTATGACACCAAAAATACAAGACAGGATAACTCCATTCTCAAAGTAATTTGTTTCCTTTATCATACTTAAACTAATAAAGCAGAGAACTAAGTGGTATTATTAAGCACTTAATGAAATTTAAAACATACTTGCTGAACCTCTTTCCAGAAGGAAAACTATTTAAAGTAAAAACATCAGTGTTGTTTTGAGAGAATCCTTAAAATCTATGCAGTCAAAATACAATTTGTCCTACTCTTTGAAATGGAGCTGGATAGCTGTAAAAGAAAAGCTTTCAAAAAGTATTCTTACTCTAAGAGGAATTGAATAATGGAATAGGGAAGAGTAATTAAAAAGTTGATACATTCATATAAATGTAGCAATTGTATCTTTAACACTGGGCAACTTCCTGTGCAGCCTTCTAAGAGTGAATCTCTTAATTGGCTTATGTATTAGCCAGCTCCAACACCTCCAAGACTCCTGAACTTTCCCTTTTCTATTTGTTAGTAACCAATTTAACAACCAGTGAGCATTGTTGCAAGAAACCCACCCTGCCATTCTCTCCCATTATTCCAAGGAGTTTAAAAAAATTGAGTAAGCTCCATAAACCTGAAAATAATTACATACAGAATGTTACAAAAAATTCTTTTCCTACCAAGACACTAGGTTTAATTTCTCATACTACTGAGTATGCCGTTTAAGCATGCACTTTCTGATTTCGAAACAGTCATAGACTTTGTCCAGAAAACTTTTAATTGATGGCTTTGGCAAAGCCAACAAGCCTTCCTAATGCATTGTTGTCCTATGGTGTTATTTACCTTTTGTGCTTTTACTTTATCTCTGATGTTAGCACAACCAGTTCTTGTATGCTAGCAGTCTGCTAAATAGTCTCAGCAAAGAACATAGTTCAGCACCCACTGTTTTAAACAATATTCTGATTGCTCATTAATCTTTTAGATTTTCTGTCTATTTATTTTTTCCCTTGAAGCCATCTTAACTATTAATGATTCTAAGATTCTTCTTGATCTATATACCTTTTGCAGAATCTTATATGTGCAACTCTCTTACTTTAAATGCTATTTTGTGTTGTTTGCATGTGTACTAAGAAAAAAAGATGTATTTTTTTGTATAAGTGTGTTTATTTGCATATGTGATTATGCAATTTTATTTTACTTAAATGTAAGATTTGTGGCAAGTATAACTTAGTGACATGACCATGTAACACAGACCAATTCCGTTTTTTTTCTTACAGTGGGTTTTGTTTTCTTAATCTGTAGGTTTTGATCAACATGCAACTAATGTCTGGAGACCCATGCTTTAAAATGTAAGTTTATAAAAAATCCGTGTGGGACAGTATTTCGGTCATACATTTCATGCTCAGAATTACACTTCTAAGTTGCGTTTATAAATCTCTCCAATCTGGCAACAATCTTTTAAAGTAAAAAAAAAAAGGCACAAACAAATGGGATGGTAGCTGGGTAATGGCTAACATGGTAAAAATACCAGTAGAAGTATCATAGTTCTCCTTGCTGTTAAATACTTAGTATATTTTCAAGCAAAGAATACTAGCCTGTACATCTGTAATTAAGAAAAAAAAATAATCAAAGAAACACTTAAGGGAAACTGTTCCTGCAGCAAGCTTATCTAAATATACTTGGTATGGATGATCTGACTAATACTTGTGTTTGGAAAATGTGCTGTTATACCTTTTATTCACAAGTCTCAGATGATTTTAAAAGATTCATTTAAAAAAAAACAAAACAGAAGTGTGATATGACTTGTTACAAGAGAAAGCACTTACAGATATTTAGTTAGCAAAGACATTATGCAATTTAGTAAAAGATGCAAGAGGTAACATCTGAGAGGGGATGTAGCTAAGAAAACACACTGCTATATATTCAGGATCCTTTGGCCTCATTGTCCTTAATCTGTAGTTAAGGAAATGTAATAGTTTTGCTAGAGTGTGTTAGCTTCCATAACTAATCACAAAACAGAAAAATCACACATGCTAGGGAAAACCTAGTCATGAGTAAGATGAAATTGTTGCGTTTTTTCTAGACTAATAAACCATATTGTTATGAGGCATCCAGGCTTAGTGGATAAATAAACTGAAATGGTGTAATTGGCAAGCTTCCTATTTCCAGAGACCACCACTATCTTACTAACCATGACTTAATTATTCTGATCAGTAAGAAGTGAAGAACTCTCACATGTGATTTATATTATAAAATATCTCTTATGATAACCTGAAAGCCATTCACTTTAAGGATAGGCTTAGAGATATGTATAGAATCTGCTTCCATGAATGCAGTGTAGAAAATACCTCAATACTTGCCAAGATTCTTAATATCACTGTTTTTCTGTAATTCAGAGTGCTGGTAGACTGGGTTGTTCTAAGTGTATGTGCTTTTCAGTTTAATGTCAATCTTTTCTAATTCTACATGACAGTAGATGGCAATTTTGTCTAGATTAGGTTTAAACCAACTTAGTTGTATTTTACTTGTCACAAGATGTTTGGGGGAGGGGTTGATGAAATAATTCCTTCAAAATAAATTTGATCCCTTAAGTTCTAGTTTAACTGAAATTTTTCTTCAGTTCACTTCATTGACCACATTGTTATACTGAAACTAGTAGGAGATCGAATCAAAAGGAGAGGACGTATTTTCTTCCCACAGCATGTGATTAAGCTGTGGAACTCCCTGCTACTACACATTGTGAATATGAAAAGGTCAAGGAATAATTAAGACAAATTCCCAAATGAAGAATTATTGAGGGCTATTAAGTATAAAACATCATATGAGGCTCAAGAAATACCTAACTTACAGATAAGGAGATGCTGGAAGAATACTCTTGAGATAACACTACTATGTGTGCCATACTCTCTCAGTATCTGTTGTCTGCTGCTGACAGAAACAGGATGCAAGGCTAGACAGACCTTTGGTCTGAGACAACATGCTTGTTCTCATGTTAGCCCTTTCAAAAACAATCTAAGCCAGAGTTCCAAGTATTACATATAACTTGAAAAGAAAAAATTAGCTTAAGGAAAACAATCTGGAAAAAATTACTAGCTTCACCCTTGTTACATCAATCTCCACTTTTTGTGTAGGTTCTCAACTTTCATTTATACTTTCAGACCTTATGTCAGATCACAGATATCTTCCATTGTAAATATATACTGCTTACTTACAAACTGCTACACTAGAACAGTGTTACTTCAGTACGGGTTAGTTATTTTATTCAAAATACTCTCATAAACTGAATTTAAACTCATTTTTTGTCAGATTAATGTAGGCAATCAGTGTCCCTCTGAATAATCCAAGGATGAAGGATAATACTCTCATACAGGCTTAATCTGTAGCAGTAAACATATGCTGAAGTCTTCATTGAGTAAAAAAGACTGTGTTTAAAGTGAAATGAGGCTGCAGCTCCAAGAAAAGCAGCATTGATCTCCTAACTCAGTCTCAGGTACAAGTATGAAGTAACTTATGATTTGTAGGTTTTAGCAGGTTTGAGGTGGTTCTGGTGTAGTTAGGACAATTGAGAACTGTTTTCTGTAGCAACTAGAGACTTTGTGCATTACTGCTGTGGCTGTATCCTTACCATTTTTCGCAAGAAGATCCGAGAATGCTGCCTGCACCAGTTTAGCTCAGGTGGTTCACCACAGGAACTCTTCAACATCCCCTTGCCCCACTGAAGGCCTTTTCTCCTCTCTTCTTCTAACCTTCAATAATAAGAATAGAACACTGTAAAATCTCATCTTCTGTTTACTGAATAAATAGTCAAGAGGGTATCACCTGAATGTATTTGATCAGGCAAAGGTTTTCTGTATCCCTAGTTATTTAGCACCTCTCAATTTACTTTTGAGTCAGACCTATTAACAAATACATCACTGGTACTGATAAACTATTTCTCAAAGGCAACTAACTAATTATTAGTCTTGTATACTAATAAAACCATGTATTTCTGTTCTTTACTGTACTGTACTACAGGAGTTGAAATTAGTATCTAAATAGTTTTCTGGGTCCCTAGGAAAAAAATCTCTAACTGAAATTATTCAGACTTGGCATTTTCTTCCAAATTGATGATATAACCATTTCCTGGACTGTATACTTTCAACACAAACAGAACAAAAAAATTATCTAATCCAGATGTCCTTCACAGAAGGAAAAATAAACCTTAAAACAATTTCACAATCTGGAATCAGCTACATATTTTATGAAGAAGCCTAGAAGGCTTGATGTTTGATCTGGGCTGACATCCCTGAAAACATTCAGTTCTTGCTTTCAAAAGCATGTTAGGCACTTAAGTCACACAAGCATTGTATTTCTACAAGTGCTTTTTCTCTTTCTCTCTCTTTACTTTCAAGTGTAACATAAGAGGAGATATGTTACTGTACATAAAGACAGTGACTAACTTACTAAATGTCAAATCTAAAAATGTCAACAAATATCCATTTATATGCAGACCAACAGTCTGTTCCCAAAGTCAAAAATAATAAAGCATTAAAAACACTGTAGGTAACATCTTGAAATGTATTTTTAGTTGTATTTGTTTGCAAGAGAAGATTACTTTCACTTTGTCATTTTCTAATTAGTTTCTTTTGCACTAGCAAAACACAAACATAGAGGCTTATTCATTTGAATAAAATATCTCTTTGGGTCCTGGTATAAACTGAAACAAGCATTTAAGCTTTATTAAAAGTTTTTTTAAAATTGAACCAAATTTAAATTATGTCATACATGATGGTAATATAGGCCCCTTTGTTAGGAGTGGGAGGGTTATCAGCCCAGAATCTTCTCATGTACTGTAACCGAGATGAAACAAAGCCAGGAGTACATCACAGTGCACAAGCCAAGTAGGCCAACTGTTGTTGTGTGAGGTTTTTTGGGGGTTTGTTTTTTTTTTTAACTTGCCATCTTGTCATGTATTCCATGAAGTACTGAATTATATATATTATTAGCACATAAATTATCCTGTGATTCATACACTTAAAATAATTAAGAACTTCAAAATAAACACATATCACTCTACCAATCATCAAAAAAGGAAAAGCCTTTCCAAGGATCCCAAGAAGCCTAAAGGACTGAGGACTGAGCAGATGAATTCTGTAAAATGTCCTTAAGCTCAATAGCAGGAGCTTTTAAAGCTTTTTTTTTTTTTTCCTTTTAACCAGGGGCTAGGCAGCATGTTTTCAGAAAAAAGTTACAAGCCTATTAACTTGAAGCACAGTATGAATTACACCAGTTTACTTGAAAAGAAAAATCTGTGCTGATCAATTTGGAGGGATTACAGCAAAACTACAGCAAATCTTAACCACGTTTCTCTTACAGGCCTCCTTCCACAGCAATGTCTATAGCAATTGCCGGAGAATCAGAATCTTTGCATGAAGACAGGAAAGGTGGAGAAAACTTAAAAGTAGTACATCTGGGCATAGCAGGTATAAAATAATGCTCTTATTTAATTCTTTTATAACTCGCTTCATAGCTTCAAGAAGATGTACAAAAGACTTCAAATCTTAAAGGGATGCTGATAGTTGGCACACAAAGGGACCTTCTTTGGTCATTTGTTGAGACACACTCTCCTAGATAACATCAGTGGAATCTCTTTTTTACTTCTATAACACTTTATTTAGTGGAAAGAAAGAACAGAAATTGGACTGATAGCCTGCCTTTTTAACATTTAAAATATTTCATTTTCTGTGACACATTTATCGATTTGCTTTGGATTTTTATTTTGACTGAACATTTATTTAATTTGGCCCTTGATTTTCAACTTATGAATCACAGGGATATGCATAACTGAGTAAATTTTGAGTGGTAAAATGTCTAAGTATTGTTTAAAATTGAAGTAATTACTCTGAAATTTAGACTATTAGAAAAAAAATACTATTAAACCAGTTTATTACAGGTTGAAATGGGAGGGGTTGGTGGGGTTTTTTTATTTTTTTTGGTTGGTTGGATGTTTTTTTTAAAAGCTTCAGGTTCTTACGTAGCTTATTAGTTTCCACCTTAAACACAGATGAAGTTATATTAACCACATTTACTTTTTCAGCCGGAAAACACCTATCACACCATTCTACTATGGTACTATAGAAAGTATGGTAATGTCTTTAATGTCAACAGTGCAGACAAGTCTAAAACTACATTTCATAGAAATCTTTCTAACCCAATGGTACTCTGTTTTACTCGTGACAGAATCGTATTATGATTTTTTTTTTTTAAGAACTGCATATTTGTTAACATACACAGTATTTTTGCAGCACTTGAATCTCCAAAGCGTTTGTAGAAAACCAGTGTCAAGTCCCTCATACAATCTGACATTTGAGTCTAATCAAGATTACAGGCAAAGTAATAAAGCCAGCTCTAGCAACAGTATCTGACTTGCACATGTTGCAGATGTCTCAGCAAAGAGTGCCTCAGTCCCAGACGAACTCGGTGCATGTGGACATTCCAGAACATCAAGCTATGCAAGTCAGCAGTCAAAACTGTCAGGTAACTGTTAACAATTTTGTTATGAATTGTTGGGGTTTGTTTATTTTCACAGTTTCAGACTGTAGAAAATAAGTATATGTTTAAAAAAATGGTTTGAAGTTGAAAGCTTTTTCCTAGGAGTTTCCTAGGAGTTTCAGGTGTGTTTCCTCTTAAAAGCACAATGAATTATCTGTTCAGATGTGAGACAGCTTTTTCCCTTAGTTCTGTCCAACTAACATATCTGAAAGAGATTTTTCTCTCTTCCATGTGTAAAAACAAATAACTTGCAAATGGAGACTTAGCTCTAAAAGCCGAAGGGGAAGTTATGACACCAAGTCATTATTAGTTAGGAAGCAAAGGTTATTTAGAACAAAACCAAAACGGCATGTGCTAGAATACAAAATCCAAAGTGAATTGCATAGTTGGTGTATGCACATACATTCATGAGGCTTTTGAAGCCTGTAAGAAGACAAAACACGAATTCTGCTTTCAGGATGGTAAAATATAAGTAATGACCTTGGCCGTGAAGAACATACCTAACCTGGCTCTCCTGCACTCTCCCAACAGGATATAGCACATGTCACTCTAGATCATCCAGTCTGTCTGAACTCTGCCACAGGAGAAACACCTCGGTGGGTAGCACCTCAACAGGAATTGGAAGTATTCTAGAGCCATGTGAAGAGACTGCGCCAAAAGTAACTGAAGCTAATATTGATACATCTGTTAAAGATGCACCATCAGAAAAACTCTGCAGGTACACTTAACTTGAAAGCCTTATCCAGCAGAAATAAAACATAATTTACTATATCACTTCTAAAAGCTCTAAATATATTTATTTTTGCAGACATCCTGTAAAGCAAGACTCTGTGGAGTCACAGCTGAAGAGGGTTGATGCTACCAGAGTTGATGCTGATGATATAGTTGAAAAAATACTCCAGAGTCAAGACTTCAGTTTAGACTCAAGTGCAGAAGGTATGGAGATAAGTAAGGAAGCTTAGGGAAAATTGATGCACATTACAGGTCTTAGGAAAATCCACTCTCTTCATAGCCCCTGTTGCTTGTAATCATAAGGACTGTGCATATGGATCACTACATTTTCTGCTTCATCCTGTCTCCCAGAAGTTGAAAAGACCCTTGCATGAGTTGGGTAACTTTCCCAGAGAATTACTTTAGGCCTGAAAAGAGCAGGGGCAAATCTATGATGAAGGTAGTTCCTCCAACCTATACCATGTGAAGTTTGGTTCTTCACTACTTAAAACATTTGCATCTGAAAGTATCAGTTACAAAACTGATAGATTTAAAATGACTTAGTTTTAGCTAGGGCAACATTAAAGGAAGCTAACATATGTTAATTCCCTTGCTTTTTAGAAGAAGGTTTAAGATTATTTGTGGGTCCTGGTGGAAGCACTTCTTTTGGAAGCCATCATCTACCTAATAGGTATGTAGCCTGAACAACTAATCCATAGATAATACTAAATAAAAATGCATCTTATACAGCAATTATTCTGTATATACATTCTTGATCTTTGCATCTTTCTATTCGGTATCATTTAAAATCACCAAAAGAACTAGATTGTTGGGTTTTAAAACAAAACACGTAGGCTAGTTCCAAAATAGAACTGATGTATCAGCCAGATACATTAGAATTGTAACTTTCAGAGATTCTGAAGAGTCTCGGTTCCAGTTTTCAGATATGAGCAACGTTTCAGTATGGACACAGGAAACGGGCACAAGTTTGAAATACTAGCTCTATAGACTTACTACATTACTCTCTGGAGCTGGAAGAAAGTCTTAACTGTTTTACACATCTACCTTGACAGTATTAAACTTTTATGTCTTCCTGATAACAAGACTAATTTTCTTCACTTTAGTTTTGCTCACACCTCCTTCTGTTTCCATATGCTACGCTATTCCTGTTTCAATGGCTTGTTCATCTTTCAATTATTTGAAACTAGCCCTAAACTCTCTCCTTTGATAATCTCCTTCAGATTATCTTCTTGTAGTTGTTTTAAAACCAGAGATATTTTTTCTTCTCTAAACCCTCTTCAAATACTCTGATACATGACTTGACCTGAATGTATTAGTCTTCTCAGATGAGAAATCATTAAAAACAGGTAAGAATATGCTCTAATACCATGATTCTGCAGTCCAGTGTAACTCTCAAGATTTTTCTTTCTCAAGAAATTAGCATAGCATCAGTATTTCAGCAAGTACATCTGGAATTAGGTATAAAGGCAGCTGATAATGTTTTGAAAGTTATAAAATCGACACATTTTACATAAGCAAGCAATACTGATGGTTAAAAGAGAATTAATTGGCTTATTTGCAAACTAGGCACACTAATTTGTCTAGGATAACATGTATGGTTACAGAGCACACCACAGTAGCATCCAGAGATCTGTCCTAATTCTGTTGCCAGAACAGTCCAGGCAGAATATTATACTAAGGCAGAACTTGCCCTATTAATTTTTTACATCGTACTGCAATTTGCCATGTAAAACAACCCACTATGCTCTGTCATGTGGGGGATGAGACTGTTTTGTTTACAATTCAGCATGAACAAAAGATGTTTTTCTTGTATCTTAACATAAAATGACTATCACTGGTTTTTTAGATACATTTATCTGTTTATGTATAAATATATATAAAAAGTATTAGCTGCATATGATATAGCTGGGTGGGAGTGGTACCCAAAAAGTAATGTTTAAGGATCTACAGAGAAGTCCAACAGTAACCTCTTTTTCAATAACGTTATTTATCATTCTTCATTTTGACTGTAGTATAACACAAAACACTTTAATGCATTAAACTGTAGGTTACTCAGTGGCATGGTAATTATGCATGCTTTCTACCCTTCACATTTAGCTGTTTTGGTACTAGCTGTATGGTTGGGGTTTTTTGTTGCATTTTTTGGGGCAAGGGTGTTGGTTGTTTGGATTTTTTTTAAAGAGTAAACTTGCTGATCTATGATACGTGCTGTTTAGCTTCCATTTAAATTGGAATTGAACTAACTTCTTTCAAACTTTCTTTCAGAGCAGGATCTGGAGCATATGAGCAAGTGGTGATAAAACGCTAGACTAGAATGACAAACAAGAGGAAAATTTGGTGCTCTGGCATTGATGCTTCTGTTTTTGTTTGCTCCATTGCAAGAGCTATGAAAGCCAAAATGAACTCAATGTGATTATTTTTTTTTTTAAGTCATAGAATGCCTTTTGCTCATAGAGTTTCTTCTGTGGTATGAAGGCAATGTTTAGCTATGTATAAATTGTGCAAACAGTTGGACCGTTTTTGTAAGCTCTACCTGATGTTAGTGGAATTACTTGCTTTTTAAGTTGTGTGAAACATTTTCAGAAGCATGATGAAGTTAGTCCCATTTCAGTATTTTATACAGGAGATCACTTGTGGTGATGTACTTTGTTTGTAACTTCTTTTATAAAGAAGCTTCTGAAAGTTGGTCTTAAATGAACCTGAAGAAGTTAATACTCAATTTGATCCTACCTGCAATTTTAGTCTTGCAGAAGCTAATTATTTCTATCAAGTCAAAATTATTATCAAGTCAAAATTAAGGCCTCCACAAAACAGACCAGCTACGTTTAACATAACCAAACCCTTCTTTTAAGAGTACTGAGCATAACTTCATTGTAAGGTTGAACAGTAGAGGTGAACTTCACCTGCATTTAAATAAATAAATAAATAGATCTAAACCAGCCAGTAATCAGTTCTGTTAACTGCAAATGAAGTCTAGAAGCTTAAATGCGTCAAATGTGACATGTTTTCATGCAAGTGACAAAAGTGGGATTCCACATCAAAAAACTAAGGCACAGTAGCATATTATCAAGAAAGCCAGCTTGATTGTTAAATCTGGAGTTCAAAAGCTGCTTCCACAGAAACTCACTTCAATAATGCCTGAACCTTGAGATTCAATGGGATGGTACTGTTTACAAACCTAGTCAGTAGTTTACTACCATGTAGAACTTTTTATTGTAACTTAATCCTTCACAGTCAGTTACTGCTTTGCTTGTGTTTTGAATGTGCCTTGTGGGATTGGGGAGGTACAAGGAGATTAAACTATTTACTAAGCAATTTAAGCTTTAAAACTAGGTAAATGTCTATACTATCATCAATATAACTTATAAGAGAAGCACTTTATTGTAGACCTACTCTGCACTCTGAAAAAGTCTTACTGTGCAACATACTTGTTGAACACTTCTTCCTTCACTATCTGTCCACTGTTACATTAAGGTCAATGTACTGTATTTAAATTTGCACAAATAGGGATTTGCCTGACGGGCAAGAAAGATGAAAGATCTCTTAAAATTTTCATTGAGCATTATGAAAGAATCAATTTTTAAAGGGATGTGTTAGGTGACACAGTTCTAATTCAGGCTTGGCTCTGCTGTATTTAACTGTAAACTGCAAATGACCTTATCTTGTTAAGATTAGTTGTGTTGTTTATCAGTAAGCTTGGATTAAATAAAAATACAAATAGCGTGGCCATTTTTGAAAGCTCTGAATGCTTCAAATTCTGCTCAGAGTGATGTTTGACACCCTTTTATTGAAGTATAAGTAGGCCATATTTAATAGGTTAAATGAGGAAAAGCAGGTTTTGTTTTCCATAAATCCATAATAGAATTATTAAACTAATTTTTATTTGTGTTTTTTAAGGAAATTTCAGATTTTAAAGCTTGAGTACTATTATTGTATATGATGAATATGAGCTATTTCTCAGTTATTGTACTTAAATACTTTTATTTCCTACTGTTAATTATAATCTCTTTGAAGTGTTTTAATGGGTAAAAGAATTGATACAAAGATTATATTTTAGCTGCTGTTAATAGAAGTGTGGTATTATCCATTTCTGTCCTCCACAGGAATTTTAAACAGAAACTATGTAACTGCTAGATAGTTTCCTTTCCTGTTATATAACTAATTTGTACCAAAAAAATCCTACTGCAAGCCAAAAGATGCATGAAATTTTAATAAATTAGTTGCTTTCAGTACTCTTTAATACTGCTATACTTGTTGACAAATCTATTAAAACCAGTAGTAGTTAGATGGCAGTTTATGTAAGTTTACTAGGAAAAATAGGCATAGTTTGAGGAAAACAGACTTTTAAAAAACATTGTACAGCTACTTACGTAACTCCTAAAGGAATTTCCATAGCCCAGATTTGTATTCTATGTTAAAAGACACAGCCAACTGCCAGAGATTAGAATTTTGTTTACTAGAAACCAATTATTAGGAGGGAAGTTTATGTGGAAATCGTTTTAATAAAACTGTATTCTAGTAATTTATTGTTCTGACTTTGAACTACAACTCTTTATGAAGTGATTCTCTAATTGTGCGTATTTTAAGTGGAACGTAACCTTTGTATTTAGATGTAGTATTTTCTTTTTTGTAAACTGTTACAAGAATACTGGAGACAGTCATATAGTAAATTGTTCGGTGTGTGTCGGGTTTTGTGGTTTTTGTTTTGTTTGGTGTTTTTTTACTGTATTTAAATGCAAATCTCTCAGATATTCAATAAACTCATGTCTTCAGCTTGGAATCTATTTCTAAAGAATTAGGTCTCTTTTTTTAATGCAAAAATGACAAACTTAACTGGAAGTTTGTGTCCATTTCAGTTTCCCTACTGTTTTTCAAACTTTACCTCTGCAGCTTACTAAACTTCATCACCAGTCTGCAAAGTATTTAATGGCACCATTACTAGTACATATTATTTATCTGTCTCCTGGAAAGGAAAAGTAATATGTTAGTCTATGTTAGTCTTATGCAAATGAAAAAACAATTTTAAAGTGTGAGGCACATTTGTAGGTTAATTATTAAGCAGACTCCAGAACTACCAGTATTTGGGGAAAATTAGGGCACTGCGTATAGTCCCTCTTCACCTTGCAAATGACAAAATTTATGCTCCTCAGCTGAGTGTAAAGACTTACTACTACTAAAACTTTTCATACAGTTAGTATAACTTGGTAAATTACCTTATTTTTCTAACAAAACTACTTGTGGTATGTATTTCTTTTCTTATCAATGCATGCGAAATAACCAAGTTTTTTGGTACTTCAGCAAGCATCTGTTCTTACCTAAAAAAATCTAGATTGGTGAAAATTGCAGCTAATTATAGTACAAACTATTTAGCACGTAGATCAGTTCAGCAATCAATTAATTGTATAATAAGGATTAAGAGAAATAACTGTACCATGTATAACCAACTCCAGTCTCAGCTGTCTTTTAAATTCAAAAAGGAAGACAATTTTTTCCAAAATTTCAGCAGAATATCCTAGAATTTCTTTTGTGGGTTGTTGTCTCTCTTCTGGTTTTATGAATCAACAGTTTCCTTATAGAATAAAACGCAAATCTGATCAGCAAGCAAATCCTCCAGTTAAGAACCTCACAGTGGACAGTTTTCTCAAAAACATGAAATATACATATATGTATACACAAAACATTCATAGATGCTAGTTACCTTACTGAATACCAGCAGCTGCAAATCTAATGACTAGGGGATTCCTTTTTCTTAATGCTTTGCTTTTTCTGTGTTTCACACCATTTTAGTGATGTATATGTTGTAAGGAAAACATGTCATTTAGACATGGTTCTTTTTTAATCCAGAAGGAAAATGCCTCATGAATGAAAATAAGGCTATGCACCACTGTTGCATACACATACGTAATATACCAAGACAAAACCATTACTGTGGTATGAAAAAAGATTTTCATTTACTATTACAGGAAAAAAAAAGCAGACATATGAAGTACCAGAACTTCAAATGCTGTCACTGAACACTGAGGTGCATTTTGTGCACCTTCTGACATGGGAAAAAACCAATACAAAGATTATCATGAGAAAAAATTACTCTTTTATAATTCTTGAGGCAAAATCAGCAGTTCTGCCTTCTCCCCACCCAACTGCTCATTCTTCCCTGCTCTCCTCTTCCCACCTGTGGCACCACTACAAGTTTCTGTGCCAGACTAGTCGATTCAGTTCCCTGTATGGCCTCACAGTAGGATCTGCCAACAAGAACGGGAAAGGCAAACACATCTTAATACATTTCTGTGGGACAGGTTATTTTCATTTTGTTGCTTCCTTGTTAAAAACTAGCAATCATTAAGTAACTGGGTTTTTTTTCGTTTTTGATGTGAAGGGAAATCTCTAAGCACATGTTAGCAAACCCTTGCCCAAGTTCAGCGTTGTATGCACTGCCCTTCCAATCACAACTAAAATTGTCCATAAACTTGTAAAGGCAGCAATAGGTTTGTGGGTTTTTTTTTGGGGGGTGGGGTGGGTGGTTGGTTGGTCAGGTTTTTTTAAATTGCCTTCTTTTATGATCTACTAATGTTTCCTCAGTATCCTCATTTGAGTATAAGCTAGTGTCAGTGCATTTTATTTTGGGGATGTTCCCAGTGAATTGCTTGCATACAGGACTGCATTAAAATGTGTTTGTTTTGTGAATGAGGAAGAAAGTGCAAAGGACTTTTGCACAAGAATTTTTCTGTCATTGCAGAAGCCCCTTCCTTTGTTTCTTTGACTCAGTTTAAATAGAAAAACAAAAAAGTCCCAACAACTAACCATTATTAGTTACACATAACCCAGCTATAACTGAATGATCCAAACCTCATTTATCAACATAATGACAAGAAGCATGGAATAGAGCCTAATACCATGCAAACCCGTGGGAGACAGGACCAAAACAGATGGGTAGTTTATTAGCTACAAGATCTATTTGTTTGAGAAATTTCTGGGGAGACAGACAATTAACTCCTCTGGCTCTCAGAAGTAGGCAGTTGGGTTTTACTTATTAAAATAAGTGAGGGGATACTTTTAGAATTTATTTATAACTCTTCCTCACTTTGTTATTATTAATTTAAAACACTGGTCAGAAACATTCTGTTCAGCTATTCTGACCATAATTAATCCCTACTAACTTGCTCAATAGCTATGAAGTTATTTCCCTTATATTCAAGATACTACACTGGTTTTTTGGTTTCATGGTGGGGATTTTTGTTGGGTTTTTTTTAATCTACTTTATTTGGATTTTACAGTTTTGAATAACCTCAGGTTGATCTATTTTGACATGTGTTTGCCATCTAGTCAGTGATACTGCCACATGCAGTCTAAAAACATTTCATCTTCATAAAATTTCCTTTGAGCATCCTGATTTAAGACATCAGAATTGACCTTAGTCAGTTTCAAACAGCAAGTTTAAGTGGAAAACAATAAATACTGTGTTTATTCACAAATATGCATAATAGTTTAACCCAAAGACCAACCTGACAATGAAGAGCTATGCACAGTGAATCCTGTGGAAGGGTTTAACTGCTCCTGAAAAGACAGTTACTTCAGTATTTCAAAGAAAATCTTATTTAAAATTGATTTAAGCCAGTGGAAACCTGGAAAGCTGCCACACAAAACAGCATAGCTATCAGTCTCAATTAAAACATATTATGTTCTAAATAGCACTTCTATATATCACATGTAATAGCTCCTTCAGTTTCAGTACACATATGTATATTAAGGAATGCTGTGAACACATAAGGCCAAACATCTGTAGTTTGACTTTTCCCCAGATTTTTCCCCAGGCAAGGCATAACCAAGAATGTAAGCTATCATTAAAAACGGAATCCTGTTACAAAGAAGGGGGAGAGGATCCATGAACCCCTTAAAAACTGAATTACTGTTCAGGTCCTTTCACATCAGTCCACCAAATATTCACATAAACCATTTTCCAAATGTAGCTACAAAGCCTTAAGGGTATATTGTTTTGAGGAAAAACAAGCATGTATTCATATACAGTCTTGTCTGTTCACAAGACATTCCTGTAATTAGATGTTACCTAAATACAAAATTCAAGGCAAATATCATTCCAAATCTGACAGGTCTTCCTTCTCTTCCCTTTTCCTCGTTTTCAAGTGACCATGTTAGAAAGTACACTAAAGATATAATGTTTCACGAAGAAATGACATAGGAAGAAGTTCTGTGGTCCAAAAATCTAACTATAGTAAACCATACAGTGAACTGCAGAGATATTTTCTCATAACAAACCAATGCTGCTCTCAAAGACCTATGCTTATTAGTGTCCAGAGAATATTTACCAATTTTGAATTTTACATATATTTTAACGTACCAACTATGGCAAGTTCATATCACAATGTCAAAAAAAGTGAAACTATTCTAAATATCACATTAAAGATGCATGTTAATTAAATTAATTCTTAAAATTCTAAATATCATGTTAAATTAATTTTTAATAATCCATGTCTATTTGTTGTAGGAGAAAAGTCTCCCACAAAAGACAAAGCTTATTAAGTAAGCATTTTTTAATCATTCAGTATGACAGAGCACTGCAGATCATTCTCTCCCTGAAACTCAACCTGTTATAGATTCTGTACCATTTCTCAATTCAGAGAACTACAGCGACCTTTTCCCTTTATGTCTGATCTTTCACCTTAATTTCAAGTGAATTCCAAAAATTTAGAAGGTAGAATGCAGTCATCTTCTTTAAGAAACAGTCAGCCCTTACACAATTCTTTTTTCCAGAAAGTTGTGAAACTTCCATGCTTTGCAAACATGAAGTTAGTTCTGATAATACTAGCTCATTCAAAGCTGCCAATGACATTGCAAACCATACACAGAATGAGGCCTTTTAATTAACCATCACTTTACTCATAGGAAGTACTCGTTGAAATATTAAAATTATTGGTTAAAAAAATTAGGGTATGCAAAGAAACTTAAAAAGAACTGCACTGTGTTGCTTCATTAATCCTGTATGAAGAAGTGAATCATGTGCATCCTTCAAAATTTCTTTATAAGTCCATCATCTAACATTTGCTTACTGTGCATTTAACACACACAATTCAGCTCTACTTAAGAAAAAGTCATCTTGGCCAAGCCAGTACGCTCTACTATCCATAAAACCTCTGCTTTTCATTTCTGCTGAATGTGTTGTCGAGTTTTTGGACAACAGCTGCACATGAAAACACAGAAATATTTTTTTTCCAGGTACACTGGGGCCAGGTTAGCATTCACAATGACAGATTTTTTTTTATTTTTTTTTTTTTTCAAAAGCAGAATAGTCACAAGATACCAGTTTCAAACTAAATTCAGCTTCTGGAAAGTTACAGAATACAAGTTATTTCCCAAGCAGCAGTTATCAAGAAACTGGATAAAATAATAGGGCTAAATCTACCTTTTTTTCCCCACCTTCCATCCAACATCATAGTACTCTTCCCCAGTATTGAATTTACTGAGCTATAAATGTTTGTGGCATATTCCAATTTATCTGGAACAGTATTTGGTTTTCACAATGGCTGAGTATGTGCTCATCTTGAAAAAGGCACCTATAAATTTTATTCTATTAAGAAAAAACTTGCCCTAAACCTATGTCTGACTCATATTATTCAGCACAACAACTTGTTCTGTGTTACCATCAAATACCCTTGGAGCTAACAAAGGACTACCAAAAAGAATCTAGTCATGATAGCTAAAATATGGTAACAGAAGACAGAAATACTTAAAATTTTCTTCACGTGAATGAATTCTTTCCTTTTAGGCCCTGATACTCTACTTCAAAACCCTACGAGTTACTGTGATCTGTCAGAAGCACTCATCTTCACTAAATGAGAGATGCTGATGGATAAATACTGCAAGGTTTATAAAAGATTTTGTGGTTCTAGTTAGCATACAGAACACACCATTTAACAGCAACTAAAAAATACTTTCATTACTTTAACTGAACTTTGTATGAGAAATCTGTGATCTAATTCTCATTTTCGCGTTCACTATTGAACATTAGAGCAGAACCATCACTGCTTAGTGTGACCTTGCCAGCAATAAGTTTGCATAACTTCTCAAAGGTACCACAAAGTCGATTCACTTTGGGAAAAGAAAAGATTGTTTTAAGAGGTACATAAACCACATTTCCATTGATGAATGGTTCCATGCTTTTTTCAACAACCAGTTTTCCAAGATCTTCTGAAAAACAGTTCATTGAAGGTTGTAATTCGGATTTTCTCTCAGTAGTATCATCATTATACTCATGTTCTGACATGAAACGGTCCAGCAGGCTTTGCTTAATGATTTGTGCTGTGAAAATAACTTCACTGACCACTGCATTCTGCAGGTAGTTCTCATCTTTAAGACTTGGATACACTGCTTTGAAGACCTTTACAACATACAAGAACACATAAAATGTTTATCATTATCATAGGCTCAGATTTTAACATTTACTTGTCAAAACCAGCTTCTAAAGTGTGAACATAATTTTTGATTCAATCCTGTTTTCTTATCACTTTAAAGATTTTCAGATAACATAAAAATTAGACAATATGACTTGATTTTCTGTATTACAATGACAACGGCATTTAGATAAGTTAATGGAACTTAAAAAAAAAAAAAAATCAGGCTTATATCTGCAAGCTATACTTGTAGATCAGGCAAGGTAAAGCCCTGCAATTCTTTAATTCTTTTTAATCATTCTCTTACTTTCCATATTACTCATCTTGAGGCTCTGGTGACAGTACCACAGCTACATAGACTCTAAACTACTTTTGAACTGTCATCTGGAAACCAGGACTGCAGCTATGTTTTTCACTCTGAAAACATAGCTGCAACATTAAATATGCTCTCACAGACACAGAGAATGCTAAAAAATAAATTGTGAGATTAAAATCTGTGAACTTGTAGCGTGTTGTACGCTGAGCGGTACTCCAAGGCAATTAAGGAAACTAGGCAGGCAATCTCATTCCCACTAGTTTACTAAGAAGTGCTTTATACCAACACATTACTACTGAAGTTGGACAGTCTATAACTATTTCTTCTTTCTTTCTGATTACATCTTGAAATGTTGATTTATTCCCATAAACTAGTTACATAAAAAATAATTTGATAGTCCAGGTCTGATAAGAAACACATGAGATATAACACTCTTGTTTAAACTCAAAGGATACTGATGTCAAAACTCCCTCCATAATGATCCTGTAACAGAAGATACTGAAAGCAATTTCTACTACGTCAGTCATCTAGACTTATTTCCAAGTTTGCTGAGCATTAAAGAGCACTTCATGATTCCATTAAGGGCAGTAGATCACAGGTGAAATTTCAAATGTATAGAATGAGTTTATAGCTTGGAAACTACAAAAGACATTCCCATAACATCACTTCGTATTTCACTTCAGGTCACAAATCACTTGAAGATACATATATTTCTTTAAACAAAGAACTGAAATTTTAAAGCATGTTCACTGAAACAAATAATTTAAGGCCTCATAAGACTGAAAAAAAAATTTCTCTTTTTGCATTATTACTTCATATCATCTCTAAAAAAAACATCCTTTGATTTATACCACACGGCACTTAGCTGCATTAGGCTTTGTCAGCATGACATACTGCAACATACAGCAGAGTACTTTACAAAAATATTATCTGATGTTATCTAAAGTGAAAGCCATTTAGTGCCAAAAACCAAAAAGGTTTGATGTGCACCACTGGAGAACAGGGTTCCTCGCAAGATCCCATGCCTCTGCAGAAACCAGAACTGGTTACCTGAAAACACCAAGATTAGGATATAACATCAAATGCTACTAAGGCAAACCATACAAAACAGGTTCTGTCAATCCAATTTCTGGGAAATGCCTTCCTTCTGATAATACATTTCTTCAAAACATACATTCCGTTAGAAATGCTTTTTTTATGCCTTTTTTTAAATGTATTTGAAAAAAATCTATGTCAGTGCCAACAACCACATGATGAAAAAAATGAATGATCAGAGGAACAATTATAAAAATAGTGCCACAGTATACCTGGCAGAAAGGAGAATTTTCATTCTAAGGATAATGGTATGTTAAAATTACTACCCATATTGCTGTTTAGCAAATAATCTAAAAGTTAAAGGCCTTTATACAACTAAAAACACAAATCATGGGCTTAGACTCTTTTCATCTGATGGTGTGTGTTAATCAGAGCTAAGATTGGATAGCAATAGTAGACCATAGTAAGGACACTTTCACAGGCAGGTCATAGAAAATTTTACTCTTTATTAATCCTCCTAAAGGAAGAAAATAATACTTACCGTTTTGTAAACTGCTTCAGTGGGTTTCTCAGACTGAGCAGATGCACTGGTTTGAGGATATTTTCTAACAAACACACCTATTTGGGTACAAAACCCAACATTCTCCATTCCTGTTGGTGGGTGCCCTACACCAGTAAATTCCACTGAGTAATCATAGCGTCTAGCAGTTTCTAGAGACCTAAGAAAGACAGATTATTCTGATCATACTAAATATTCATCTTTTAATGTGACAAAGATGCATTCTCTAACAGAAGCAAGACCCTGAGCCTGGGAATGCTTGAGCATAATCTCTCTAGTAAGACTCACATGCCTGAAGATTAGGACTGTCAGAACCTGCTGAATCAGAGCTGTAATCCTACACCTACCACAGCCTGCATCATTTAGTATTGGTAATTTAGGCAACCAAACATTACTGTTTTTTCTAAAATATCTGCATAGAATATGCATGTTCACAGTTGCTTACTCACTGTCTTAAATGCATTGAAATTGAGCTAAAAACTATAAATTTTAGACAACAAAATTATTTGAGAAGAACTCATAAAAAAAACCATACACACCCCAAAACCAGAAGAGACCAGCTAACAGGAAAAAAAAAAAAACACAGAAAAGTGAGATTTGTTGTAAATGTATAAAGAGTAAAGTCTATGGCAGAAACAACCTAAGTTAAGGGGCAAATTTTCCAAGAAACAATTGCTGACCAAGAGTTGGCTACTGAGGTATGGCATCCTTTACTGTACCATATATTTTCTTCCACAACTGCCTGACAGTTGGATGTTATCATAGGATATATATCCACTCACTATTTTGTTTTTATTACAAATACTGATATTAGAGTAAGATACATCTCATGCAACCCTCTGTCATGTACATATGTTTTGCATAAAATCTTTCATTGTGCCATGATCCACTGAACTATCCTTAACTTTATTCAACATGCTCTACTACTGTGATTATTTGATAATCTGCTTGCATACTCTTACAGAAAGGTCTGGACTAATTGGGTGCTTTGATTACACACTATACATAGTGAGCACATTTCTTAGGTTTTTATGAAGCATTTCTATAGCAGGGTACTATTGTGTGAAAAGTTTAATTAATACCTTACACTTCAAATGCATTAATTGCAATAAAGATATATAAAAAGGAAAGTAAAAGTTTTAAATATTTTTTGCAGAGCAATTACAGTAAAAGCAAGCCAACTTAACAACTATCATAAAATGCAAAACCCACAGAGCATGCTTACTTATTCGTAACAGCAAGAAACGTTTCACCAAACCAGTACGTATGAAACTCTACTGACACCAAACCACATACACAAACCATTCTGAAAGTATATAGCTATTCCTTTCCCACATTACTGAATGCTCAAAGCTGTCTGCATACAACGTTCAGTAAACTTACCAGCTTTGAAATTGCACTCGGTTCCATTCAAATTTGTGATCCGGATCCCTGAATAACGTCACTCCTGGAAGCAAAGGGTTAAATTCAGAATTTGGAGTACTGATCACAACTATGCTTGGAGCCATGAAACCAAACACCACTTCAGGAAACAACTTAAGTTCTGATTCTTCCAGGTGCTCTATTCTGTAAAGGATAAGTTTATGTAAGTCTTTAAAAACACCCTACTGTATTTTCAACTTCTTCACAACCAGTCAAAAAACCCTCATCTATACCTTGTAATTTTAAGCCTAGCTCCACAATGTTAGCACTGGCATTGTGGCCGAGTGGCAGCTTAGAGGTTTTTGTCTGAGAAAATTTCTTTTTGCATTCTGTACTTTTTCATCAATGTCCTTTTCCCCACCACAAGCTAGCACCATTTGAATGTCTTAGTTAATTTAAGCACAAGTTAGAAGATGACACATTCTGCTACTCTTCTGCTTGAAAGGTTTGATCAGATTTGTTTAGGGCATGGAAAAATTCCAAACTGTACCCTAATGAACTTAGAAAAATGTAGTAAATTGGCCTAATACTCACAGTTCAATACACGTTACCAAGTCAAAACCAAGCATGCAAGGATCTTTATGGGCAACTGAACCATGATGCAAGGTAACAGTTAGGGATCTTTCAGCTGGTTGCAAATAATCCGCAGGAAGAGGAGACAACCTATGCCTATAAAAGTATTAAAAACACAACGTCATAGAAAGGACCTTAGGACAAGATAAATTGTGCACGTAACTGAACTGCATGTAACTGAACTAGCTAACACCCTACATAGATACCTTGTAAATCTCAAAAAGGTTAACTATTTTACAGGGATGAAAAAAAAAATTAATACAAACACTTTCTATGACTATCTACAATAGGATAGAAAGAGCAGAGGAGTTAATCCAGCAGTTGTCCTTCATGTTTACAAGAACTTCCACTAAACTCTCAAGGCACTTGGAAAGCTGCTTGTAAATTCTGACAGTAGCTTAACTCTAGACACAGAGTAAGTCTGGCTTAGACATGCTTTACATGGTTCTTGGGGAAGTTATTAGGCAAGCATGTTAACCTAATTTTTCCAAATAAAACCGACTGAGAGCTAAAAATATATGGGCAAATTTCATTCTGAAATACCGCATCATACAAAACACACAATAAACATTCAATACAATAAAAAGCTACTTTTCTTCATTCTTGAGAAAAAGCAAGTGGTAACATCAGCATCTACATCCTACATATTCACTGAAACCATGTTAATCAGCTTCCAAGAGGGAAACTTTGGTGTTCCTCAACAGTCCGACCCATGCTTCAAAGATCACATAAACCCTACATTTTAAAGCCTTCTAAGCCAAACACAAAGCACTGAGGTAACCTTCCCATTTCGAAAAGGTTAACAAATATGAAGTCCTCACCACAGTGACTAAAAGAGAATTATAAGCACATTTCAAAAAGATCAGATTTGCATACCACAGTAATGTCATGTATGAGCGTAAACAGTTACTACTAATCCAATGTATTAGTACCTTTACAAACAGTGTATTTCTCAGATGTACACAGCTTCAGGGCCACTCCATGACTTGGACCTTTGCTATATTAGGTGATGTTATAGGCATCTACAGCCCAGTAGTCCCCAGACACAGGTGCAATGTAACTAATTAACAACAATGGATAGGTCTCTATTTGCCAAGCTGGTATTTCTGCATTTACCCTTATTTTGAAATTCTTTACAAGAAATGATGCAACATGCCACTAGGTCAAGCCAAATACAAACCTTAAATTAACACAATGCAAGAGCTTACATTTTCTCTTTCATTACACTTGCGCAGATATCTAACCCAGCTAACACTTCAATGCAACTGCAGAATTTCAGCATCCAGAGAAGTGTGCAGTCAGCACACCCTAAATCTGCCACCTGTAAATTAGATATTGGACAATGTGTAAATGCTGCGTATTTCCAAGTAATTTCAGAGACTTTCATAAAATACAAATTCCATATTTATGTCAAAATTACTTTTTAATGATAAAATAAAACATTTCATAATCATAACTAAAATTTACAGTTGCAAGCAGGATAGACATGGATTTGAAAACTCTTTAAAAAAAATGTTTATGAAGATCCTACAAGATGTTTTAAATGGATTAACCTTTTGTTATTACAGCTATAAACAAGTACATGTAGAATATCCCACTGACTGAAGAATATCTTCCACAGGAAGGTATATTCCCTCAAATAACAGCAAGGTATAATTTTAAGTATTACAGCTGTAGCAATTTTCACATTCACCACTGCTTTTCACTGGACTACTCTCCATCCAAAACACTGAGAACAGGCTCACCAGCAGCCAGGTTAGCAGCAAAGGATCTGCATAAAACAAGTTTATAGGCTAAGTCTAATGTTTAAGTGGGGAAGACTGGGGATGTTCAGACCACAAAGTCAAATATATAATAGATATTCTCTCCTGTAAGCTTAAGAGGTAGTTGATGACACAAACCAAACCCTACTGTTCTTTCTCAGGCTAAGTCAAGGTTGAAACACACTGCTCAGTTCTCAGGATGAAAATCCTGAATTGTTTCTATTCAGCCTACCTCTACCCTGGGAATAAACAGGAAGTTTACCCACCTCCCCATTTTACATCCTAAATCAGAAAATTCAAACCTTTAAATACAAATGCAACACTCCTGAATATGTTCTATTTAAAAGCAGATTAGATTTTTATTAGCTACTAGAGGTATGATCATGTAAGTGCACTGCAGGTGCATTTTCATCAATGTCTTGCATACTCCCTAAGACATCAACATCAGTTTCAGAGTTAAATGCTGACGGCAGAGGTACTTCTCGACTTTCTGCATTTTGGGAGGAGGTGCTGGAGGGGAAGGTCATATTAGAAAAGACCAAACACTACACAACATTACTTAAATAATTAAACTTTTCAAAATTAGTATCAAAGCAAGAGACATGGTATATTGGGGAGGGGGAACACGAGGGGTCCACAAGACCTTAAGAAAGTGGAGGAGAGTTAGCCTCACATAATCCCACACTCTTAATATGACTTCTCATCTGAAAATATCCATGTGAGTGATAAGGTAAACCTGATACTGTACACAGAACTAACAGCTCTAGAAAGCAAAACCAAACTATGATGAAAGCAGCTTGAAACAAAATCCTCAGCATTAAATTAAAACCAGAATGCCACCTACTCTCCAAAACAGGCTAAGGCATTTTTCTCGTTTAGATTTTCCTCTCTTCCCATCAATTAACATTACCCATGCGCACCCCTGAAAAATAACACATGATCATCAAGTGTCTGCTAAGGCATTTCAGTTTTAACAATAGCTTCTCCACTACTGTTGTTTGGTAATTAGGTCAGCAGGTTATCTATGCATTTCCTGTCTTCCCAAGATACCTAATGTTAACTTTTTTTTTCAAATTTATAACGTAAAAAGACAAAACATACCAACCTTCTTAGGTTTGTATTTCCCCACTAAATCTTTAACAAACTGGTAGCGTTGCTTGTACAAAGGAGGTGTAAATTTAATGATTCCTGTAAACTGCTCTTCTTGAAAATTCTTATCCATAATATTTTGCTAATGCTAAAATAAAAAGTTAACTCTTATTTTCTGAAGTACTTTATAACATATCAAATTGCAGTGTTTGCTGTTTTCGGTGGTGGTCAATTTACAATTAAGCAGGCATAGGCCTGATCCCAGCTCAATTCAGAGAATGACAAAAACATAGGAATAAGCAAAATTAGGCACTAGCCACTCCTTCCTCATACAATGATGTAAATAATCTTTTTATAAACAAGTATAAATTATATACAATAATAAAAAAGCAAGTTTCATAATCTGTCACTCTCTATCCAGGACACATATAAAATGTTAACACAACGGCAACATATTCAATCTTCCTTAACTTTTCTGGCAAAAGTGGGAAAAAAAAAATTTCTCATTCAGGTGCCTGCTTTCTTGTCTCTCATCTATCACCTGTTTTATCTTACAATTCATATATTTTATATCTAGACTTGTGTATGTATGGCTCAACACAATTTCTACAATGTAACACCCAGCAGGAAATATCTGAACAATTACTATGTTCTGCTAGGCCTTAGCTTTAGATTTACTATGAGCAAAATCTTATTAGTGCCTGCTTTTTATAAGTAGACTAACACAATTCAACATGACATTAGATTCACGACCATTAGTGCATTTCCAACTCTCCCACCTTTTATTAAAAGCTACACTTCAGCACACATAGATATTTGACAAGAAACATCCCCACTAAACCTAAGGCCCTAATGAATGACGAATGAACTCCGCTGGAATGACGTACGGGAAGGAAGGTGGTCCTGTGGGCACCGCCACCCTCCCAGGCAGCAGCTGCAGCCCAGCTCCCCTCCAGCTCTAACGGGCACCAGCTCCAGGACCATCAAAGCAGCCTGGCCGAGCCTGCTGCCAACTTGACCGCTCCAGAAGGGCTCTTATACGTAACTATATATAGATTTATATAGGTACGTACAAAACCTGGAAATAAGGCTCAGTGTTCAGGCCAGTCATCTGCCTCGCCAGGAGCAAACTGAGCCGGTTGGACCACCCTCCCTAGTAACCGGCTGAGAAGCCAGCCC